TAAAGAAATTGAAAATATTATCATATATCATATATCATATATCATATATCATATATCATATATCATATATCATATATCATATATCATATATCATATATCATATATCATATATCATATATCATATATCATATATCATATATCATATATCATATATCATATATCATATATCATATATCATATATCATATATCATATATCATATATCATATATTTGTGTGTGTGCTCACCATGTTTAACTCTCAGTTAAACCTGACAGGCAAATGACATGTTGCTTTTAACAGCAACATAAACTTTTTTCCCGCTGATAAATTATAAATTCTTAACTCAATTATTTTTTTCGAAGTTATTTCATATGGAACATTCCACAGCATATTTTTTGATTAATGTTTCATAAATTCGTGTTATTGCTTTATTGTGTTTCCATAAGTATTTCGTATTTATACTTTTTCATTTTTGTCGTTTTCAAATTGCAATTAAAAGATGAAAGTACGCTGGCGCATGCTCTTCGCGTCTGTCAAACAATTTCAATTAAAAGTTAATTAAGTTAATGAAATGCTTTTTGGCTCGCTTTGCACATTGTTGTTCCGCACTGAGGCGAAATGTGAAGCGCAAAAAAATTATATTTGCCAGCACGGCGTATGCGCAATGCACTCACATTCACTCAGCATAGTCTCTCCATCATCCTCCCACTCACTTTGTCTATCGGTGTCTCTCTCTGTGCCTGCCTGTCTCTTCCTCCCGCCATCTGGATGCCAATTTGTATATGAAATAACTATATTTGTATTCATTTGGTGTCGGAACTGCTTTTAATTTCCTTGTACAACGTGGATTTTATAAGCTTTGAGAGGGATGGATATATAGATGGAGAGGGAGCGAGAGAGAAGGTATATTTTTTCTACGCTAATTGTTCATCTGCCACACAAATTTCATAATGACTACTATCGATTGCCCGTGTAATGAGGAAAGAAAAAATATTCTTCCTGATAGAAATTCCGTGCAAAGCTGCGTGAGAAATGCTCATACTTAATTGAATTTGTATCGAAATATGCGAAATATTTAATGAATGCATATATAAATTGAGGGCTCTGCAAAAAAAAAAATGTACTATGATTTGCATATGTTAAATTGGTACACATAAATAAACGTAGATATATCCGCCGTATCAGGGATACAGATACAGATACAGATACAGATACAGATACAGATACAGATACAGATACAGATACAGATACAGATACAGATACAGATACAGATACAGATAC